GAAAGAAAGAAAGAAAGAAAGAAAGGAAGGAAGGAAGAAAGGAAAGAAGAAAGAAAAAAAGAAAGAAAGAAAGAGAGAGAAAGGTAGCACAGGAAGGAAGGAAGGAATAAAAAAAATAAATGTATCTTCTATTGACTGAAGGACTTCACAGCAGTTAAGAGGCTAAATTTTCCCACTGCTGTCTATGCTGGAGAACAGATTTATGTTTCAGCCTTAAGAAGGTGTCATACAGCACAGTTGCTGCACTTTACCTGGAAGAAATCCCATTGGATCCTATGGGGTATCTGAACATTTTGGTTTAGGATTAACACTTGAGGAAGATGATAGCAGATCATCCGGGGGTGGGAGGAGAGATGGATACACTCTTCCCAGGCTTAGAAATAAGACATTAAAATGTGTTTTTTATTCCAGATACCTAAAAATTTTGAACAACTATTTTAGAATTTTCTATTTTAATATTAAATGCCAAAGATAGTTTGTCAGTAACATATCACTCACAACTTTAATTAAGTACTAGTTTGTCAGTAACATATCACTCACAACTTAAATTAAGTACTAGGCTGGATAGGATGTTCTGAGTTCAGTTCCCCACTGTGCCTCCCGGAAAAACAGGCAATCTGTGTAGCCATAGGCAAGCTACGCTGCATAGTCCCAGGATGCCCTACAAAAGAAGGGAACAGTGTACTATTTCTGAGTATTCTGTACCTAGAAAATCCTGGAAAGGTTGCCATGAGTCAGAATTGATTTGATGCCACAGAAGTATTATTATTGGTTCTTTACCATGATTCTGAGTAACATATTTTAAAATTACGATGTAACAAATTTATCATGCTTTAATTGATAAATTAGTTTCTCATGTCAGCTTCTTGTTGTTTAGTGTTAACAGATTAAATTCTTTACTGAATTCAATTAACATTAACTGGTTCATCATTGTACAGTAAGCCAGAAGAAGAAAACATACAGTATTTCTTTTTCTTACTGTAATTTGGTGATCCCTTCATCCCCAGCTTTGAAGATATTTTGTGTCTTTTTATAGTATTGAAGCCAAAATAGCAACACCTAATGAAGCAGTGGAATATGCAGAGAAACCCTAAGTTTGCAGATATATAAATATTTGTTTATTTATTTAAATGTATTTAAATTATTTATATGCCACTTCTCTCCCCATAGGGGACCCAAGAGCGGCTCACAACAGATACAATAAGAAATTTCAAAACAGTATATAAAAATAGTGGTGCCTTGACTTATGAACATCCCGACTTACGACCATTTTGAGTTACGACCAGCTCAGGCCACAAAATTTTGCTTAGACTTGCAGCTGGAGCTTCAAGTTATGATCAAAAAAAAGACAGGGGGGAAAAGGGGGGAAATTCAAATTGCTAACTCTTGGTAGATGAAGAGGCTGCTTCTTTGTAGCTCTTTCGCCCCAACGGTTAGAATGGGGGTGATTGGAGGAGGCTTCGGACTGCCTGGTAAGGTAAGGGATTGCTATCTGCTTTTTAAAAACTGTTCTGGGTGGGTTTTGCAGCATGGTTTTGGGCTGGGAGGGTTATGTTTCTGTGCTGTGATGGGTCTTGGGGGGCTTCTTTGTTGGTATTTTCCCCCATTTCTGATGGGTCTTGGGGGGATTGTTTGCTTTTGGGTTTTTTTCCCTATTTCCGATGTGTCTCGCATGCTTTGCTTGCTTTCTGCTTTGCTTTTTCCCCATTTCCAATGTGTCTTGCATGCTTGGCTTGTTTTTGGGTGATTTTTTCCTTTGGCTGGGACAGATTAATTGCATTTCAGTGCATTTCAATGAGAAATGGTGCTTCAACTTATGACCGTTTCGAGTTATGACCATCTTCTGGAACAGATTAAGCACCACTGTATCTCATATAAAAATGATTAAACATACATTAAGATTTTCTGAAAACCTAGTATAAAAACAATGTACAGTGGTGCCTCACATTACGATTGCCCCACATTACGATGAAACTGCATTACGACGATGTTTTTGCGATCGCTTTTGCAATCGCAAAACGATGATCTGAATGGGCTTGTTTCGCTTCGTGTTCGGTTCCCTGCTTCGGGAACCGATTCTTCGCAAAATGACAATTTTTCTACAGCTGATCGGCGGTTTCAAAATGGCCGCCGGGTAAATAAAATGGCTCCCCGCTCTTTGCTGGGACAGATTCCTCGCAAGACAGCCACCGCAAATGGCCGCCCTATGGAGGATCTTTGCTGGACAGTGAGTTTCCAGCCCACTGGAACGCATTTAAGGGGTTACACACTGAAGGGGTTTCAGTGCGTTTCAATGGACTTTTTATTTTCGCATTACGATGTTTTCGTTCTACAGTGATTTCGCTGGAACGAATTAAAGTCGTAATGCGAGGCATCACTGTAAACACTTTGAAAACCATGTAAGTTAAAAACCAACATTCCTGATATCTTACTTCTTAAGGGTCTGCCTGAAGAGGGGGAGGGGAGATACCCTTGGGACAGGAAATCCTCCAAAAGGAATTCATTGAGGACTGAGTGAAATCAATGGCCATTGCATGAGAACTGTTTGGGTGGCAAGAGGGCCTGTCTTTGGGGAAAATCTGTTTAAACATGGAGAAAGGCACTTGTTACCTTCCATTGCAGATGTTTATATTCCTAGCTTTGTACAGGTAAATGACATTTCAATAAGAAATTAGATTTATAAATATGTTGTAACATTTAAATACAAAATTTTAAAAACTGACTATGTCAGGTCTCCCTTTTTCTATCTATTTCCTTATTTGCAAACAATAAATCAATTTCATCATGACTTTATATTCTTTTTATTTGGCATGAAGCGGTTCTACTTATATCTGTGCTTATTTTAGAAAGCAGCTGTTTCTATCGTGTTTTTCTCAAAAAGGACCCAAGACACTTTACATTAAAAATACAATATTTAAAAGTTAAAACAGGTATACAAATATTTAAAAAGAATTAAACAAGTACTGTATTAAAAATGATAGATAAAATCAATAGTAAAACCACATTTAAAACAACAGAGCACAATAATCCATTTAAAAACTCTTGTCAGACCACAAGTCACTAAGGAAAATCCTACCTGAAGATAAAGGTCTTTGCCTGTTTGTGGAAGGACAACAAAGATGGGGCCAGACTAGTTTTCTGTGGGAGTTCCTGAATTTGAGAACACAGGACGAAGAAGACCCTCTCCCATGTCTCCACCAAGCACACCTGTGAAGGTGGTGGGAATGAGAGAAAAGCCTCCCCTGATGACCTTAAAGCCAAGACAGGAGCATATATATGGGACTAGACCTTGTTAAATTGAATGATTCTGACTTCAGAGTACAGTGGTGCCTCGACTTATGAACATCCCTACTTACGGCCATTTCAAGTTATGACCAGCTCCGGCCACAAAAATTTGCTTCTATTTGCGACAGGCAGGAAATTCCAGTTTCTAACTGTAGGTGGCAACGAGGCTGCTTCTTTATAGCTCTTTCGCCCCAGCAGTTAGAGAGAGTGGGATCAGAGAAGACTGCCTGGTAAGGTAAGGTGCTGTTTTCTGCTTTTAAAAAACTGTTCTTGGTGTTTTTCCAGTGTGGTTTTGAGCTGGGGGGTAATGTTTCTGTGCTGTGATGGTTCTTGGGGGGTTTGTTTGGTTTTTTGTTCCCCCCATTTCCGATGGGTCTTGGGGGGCGTGGTTGCTTTCTGGAGTGTTTTCCCCCATTTCCAATGGGTCTTGGGGGTTTGTTTGTTTGTTGATGCTTTGCTTTTTCCCCATTTTTGATCTGTCTTGCATGCTTCACTTGCTTTTTGCATTGCTTTCCCCATTTCCAGTCTGTCTTGCGTGCTTCGTTTGCTTTTTTGCATTGCTCTTTCCCCATTTCCAATCTGTCTTGCATGCTTTGTTTGCTTTTACCCCATTTCTGATCTGTCTTGCACACTTCATTTGCTTTTTACATTGCTACCCCATTTCTGATCTGTCTTGCACACTTAGTTTGCTTTTTGCATTGCCTTTTTCCCATTTCCAATCTGTCTTGCATGCTTCATTTGCTTTTTGCATTGCTTTTTCCCCATTTCCATCTGTCTTGAATGCTCCGCTTGCTTTTCTTTCTCCCCCTTCAGCCGGAAGGGATGAATCATGTTTTTGATGGGTCTTATAGTGATTTTTTTTGGGGGGGGGGGGGGGTTTTTTTCCTTTGGCCGGAACAGATTAATTGCACTTCAATGCATTTCAATGGGAAATACTTCTTCGACTTACGACCATTTCGACTTATGCCCATTTTCCTGAACCAATTAATTTTGTAAGTCGAGGCACCACTGTACAGTGGTGCCTCACATAGCGATCACTCCGTTTTAAGCGCCGAAATCACTTTGTGACGCATTTATTGCAATCGCAAAAGCGATCGTTTTGCGATGTTCCCTACGGGGGAATTTCGCTTTGCGATGACCGATCATCGCAAAGTGACCATTTTCGGCCAGCTGATCGGCAGTTTCAAAATGGCCACCGGGAAAAAACATGGCCACCCGCTGTTTTCTGGGACGGATTCCTCGCTTAAGAGGCACTAGAAATGGCAGCGCTATGGAGGATCTTCGCTGAATGGTGAGTTTTAAGCATTAATCACGTTTTATTGTGTTTCTATGGGCTTTTTTTATTTCACATTGCAACGTTTTCGTTCTGCAGCGATTTTTGCGGAACTAATTAACGCCGCAATGCGAGGCACCACTGTACATCAATTCTATCTATTCTAAGCAGCGGAACTAATTAACGCCGCAATGCGAGGCACCACTGTAAATCAATTCTATCTGTACATCTTCAGAAGGCATGAAACAAGTGGAGGTGGTGTAAGAGTTACTTTGGATTCTTGTGGTCACAAAACATTCCAGAGAAGGACTCTTATCCTCTTTCTCTCTGGGTCATCTCTCTTTCTTCTCTCCCTGGTGCTTCTTTCTTTCTCCTCCCTATTAACGCCGCAATGCGAGGCACCACTGTAAATCAATTCTATCTGTACATCTTCAGAAGGCATGAAACAAGTGGAGGTGGTGTAAGAGTTACTTTGGATTCTTGTGGTCACAAAACATTCCAGAGAAGGACTCTTATCCTCTTTCTCTCTGGGTCATCTCTCTTTCTTCTCTCCCTGGTGCTTCTTTCTTTCTCCTCCCTACTTCCATGATTCATCTCCATGTGTTGTAAGGCCAATGTCCCACATCACTATCTTGGCCAGAAGTAATCTCTGTTGAACTCAATTAACTAATTGGCTGAAATCTGGTAGTAACTTACAAGTAGAGTAGGCCCATTGTATAAGTGGAACCTACAGAGGACTTGATTTACCATACACCCACTGATTCAATGGGCCTACACTAGTTGTGACTTACTACTGGACTAGTACTCTAGTTGTTACTTACTACAGCTATTGCTTTTCTGAAGTATTAGCAAATAAAAAAGTACATAGCAGGAATAATTTCCATTTCAGAATGCAGTGGTAGGCATTTGAAATACTACTGTACTAAATTTGCTATGAGATGCAAACGTATGATACAGAATGAGATCATAGAGGAGAGGGGAGATATTTTAAAAATAGAAATCAGAACTTTAAAATTACTTGTTCCGTCTTCACCAAATTTGGCAAAGAGCTTTCCCACAAAACTTGCAGCCAAAACTGCAGCTTTCTCCTTGCAATATTCCCCACACAAGGCAAATAAATGAATTTAAATTTTGGTAGTTCCACTCCTGAAGACATCTACTAACAGCAGAAGAGCGCTGGAAAGCAGCATTTAAAACGTGAGAGGGGATAAGTGTTCTCTTTAGTAAGAAGAGCTTAATAACAGGAGCTTTTATCTCAGAAAAAGACAACTTAAGAGGACGTTATGACATTTTGTAAAATCCTAATGATTTTGAAGAAAGTAAATGTGGAAATAATTCATTCACAAACTGCAAAAATTCAGTGTCACCTATTAGAAAAATAAGCAGCTTCTTAAAAACTAGAATACATCTTCACAAGCCACAAAACTAATTGTTGAACAATTTCCACCATTCAGAGTTTGAAGGTGAAATTGAAAAGTACTCAATGCAAGTATCTTCAAGCATTGAGTCAAACTATGGGGTACAGTGCATTCCTATTTTTAATCTTTAGGGCTATGTCCAACTGCTAGTCCCTTGAATCAATGGGATGTACACAAGCCTTGATTCATTAGTAAGTGACTCATTCAATCGGTCTATTCTAGTTAGGATTTGCAATTGAATTTGAGCCAGGTCAGGCTGGGAAGACTTCTACCTGAACCCCAGTGGAACTGCTGCCAGTCACTGTCAAGAATAGCGGGCTAGACAGGCTAGTGGTCTGATTGAGTGACTGAAATTCTGCAAAACCGTAATGCTTCTGTCCATTCCTCACCAGAAAATAAAGAGACCCCGCCACAATTCTTGGGCATGTGTGTGTGTGCGCGCGCGCGTGAATGCTTCCATGAATAATGCTGGGGGTTGTTTATTTACTGACAAGAAACAGACTGAAACCTATGCAATGAGATTTAAGCCAGTATATGGGAATATCCTATGTTCGATAGCCCTTCGCCTATTACTTCCTTATGCAGGAAATAACTGAGGACACACCCTTTTCAGTGCTGGTGCTCTAGCTATGGAATGCTGTCCTTGCAGATGTTGGATTGAACAGCAGTCAAGTGGAAATATTTTTATTTGTTTTGGCTATTGTTGACTAAGGTTATTTTGACTGTTGCTTCTAATTTTTATGCTGTTCTCCACAATCTCTACTGACATTGATTTGATTTTTAAAATATACTCACAATGCTCGCTTATCTGTTATTCCCTCAGAACCATGGCCAAGATCCCAACCCATGTTAGCATAATATAAATTTCTGCTTGCAAGACCCATGAATGTGGGGCACTGTGCTTCTGTTTCCTTGATTTAAAAAGCCAGGAAATGGCCCAATATTGCTGCAAAATATCGTGCCCGTGTTGCCAGCAGAAAAAAGGATATAGCAGTGGATGAAGGGTCCAAGCCACCAGGGGTGGGATGGGAGGGAGCAAGAGTTCCCCTTTCTGGCTCTGCTTTCTCATGAGGTGCTGTGGCCTGGAAGCAGCCTCAAGGCAGCAGCGGAAGAGGAGGGATCCTGCCCACCTGCCTCAGACTGTAGGCCCCACTGAGCAGGTCAGATGTGGAACTTTGGGAGGATGAGCCGTGTGTGAGGAAAGGGTGCGCCACACCAAGCATTGGGGAGGAAAAGGTGGCGCAGGATAGGGCTGGAGGCAGCTGCCGCCTACCTTCACAGGAGGTGACCCAGGCCAGCCCCACACCCCTCTCCGTACCTCCCATAGCAGCAGCATGCAAAGGGGACATGCCACCAGGGGTGGAGATGGAAAAGGGCAAGAAGTGCCCTTTCTGGCTCTGCTTCCTTCCAATATGCTGTGGCCTGGAAGTGGTCCTTAGGCAGCAACCCCAGAGGGGTTGCCCACCTGCCTGAGACTAAAGGCCCAGGGGAGTGGGCTGGAAGTCGGACCTGGGAAGGAGGACGAGTTGCACATAAGGTAAGGGAGCCCTGTGCCCAGCATCAGGGAAGAAAGGGTAGAGCAGGGCCAGAGGCCACCACCCTTACGAAAGGTAGCCCGGGCCAGCCCCACACCCTTTCACCTACCTACTGCAGCAGGAGAAGGGACTGATCCACCAAGATCAGGGATGAAAAGGAGTTGAAAAAGTTTGGAACCGCTGTGGTAAAAGAAAAAATTCAGAAGAGAACAAGAATTAATAGCAAAGTCTCTGGCAGATTCTCCCTCTAGTGACCAGTTGTGGTAAAACATGATTTTATTTATTGATTTTTAAAAAATATTTTTAATGTAGTACAGTATTTTCAGATACTGTGAATGAGTGGATATTGATCTAGTGGATACGAGGGCCCTACTGTATAAACGTGAGTTCAGAACATGTTTTCATAAGAGTCTTAAATGTGTCTCCTAACTATAGAACTGAGGAATTCAAAAGAAATGTTGGAAGCAAAACAACAGCGTTCCCACTTAACAAGTGAGTCCATCTTCATCTTGCTTATTAGGAAAGATGTTCTTCAATAATCGGGTGGTGTATAAATAAAATAAAAAGACAATGCTGATTGCCTAATAAGTCTATTGGGGACTGCAGTTCTTCACTTTAACAAGATTTGCAGGAGCTTTTGTGTTGCACAATTTCTCTTGAGAGCTTCACAGTTTTGGAATCCTTGCACTTCATAACAACAAGGGTTCCAACCCAATGTGTCATTATAAATATTTGTGGTAATGACAATAATTTTAAAACCTTGAAAGCAAACGGGGAAGTAGAAAGGCAGAAATGGCAGTCCTCTGGCTGTTTCTTTGCAAAACGAATAAATAATTGTTTGTCATCAAGTCAGTTCTGACTTGGAGTGACCCTTTTCAGGGATTTCTAGATGACGAGTACCCAGAAGTGGTTTACCCTTCCCTTTTTCTGGAGGCATCTTGGAACTGTGCAAGTTGCCCAAGACCACACAGGCTGGCTCTTCTGGGGAATTGAATTCCCAGCCTCTGGCTCTGCAGCCAGATACCTAATATGCTGAGCTATCTAGCCAGCCCATATTTGTTCAAAGATCAGCGCAAAAGCTTTGGGCAAAACCAGGGCCTATCTTACAATAACAGGATATAAATCTTTGCAACACTAAGAGGCTAAAATGTTGAAGTACAAACATGAATAGTGATATTTTATTCTTCCACTATTATTTTTTGCTGCTTCCCTCAGCAGAAATACACTCTCTTCATCTGTTGTGCACGGATGCAAATATAAGGAAATAAATACAGTATACATATAGCTCATTGAATTTGCTTATTAAGCTGCAGATGCCAGGTACGTCTGACAGAGATCTTGTCTATTACTATTATCATTACAAATTCCCACTGCTATCATATAAAGATCTGATGGCAGAATTTCTAGAAAAGAGTGTAAAATAATTATACTCAGGTAAGTAAAATAAAAATGAAACAAAGTCTACACATCTCTAGACTGCTCTGGAAATCCAAAGTATAATAGCAGTTTTAAAACAAGAGTTTTAATTTTCTTAAGCATGTGATCTGTAAGAGGCAACAGAAAAGTTCTGATCACTAAACTGTTGCCATTTGAATATTCAAGTGTAAACAGAAACAATAGACTTACAGTCAAATTCTGTACATCTTTTCAGAAGTGTTTCCCTCTGGTTTTCAGGATGTTTCAAGATTAGTAGATATTTGCTGGTAATCTAACAGTTTTATCAGTAAAGTTTACATTCCTATTTTAAAACATTTGAAAACTATTTTTATATTGCTTACAAGGAAAAAAGACATTTACAAAAACAAACAAGACAACAAATTACAAAATATAATGCCTAAATGGTCTCTAGAAAACACCACAACTAGCTGACACAGAGCTTCTTTGGAATACAATCAATTTTCAAGTTATCACAGACTGCTTTACTTTTTTTAATCTTAAGAATGTTTACAAAAACAGCATGTATCATGTTCTCTGTTCAATGTTATCTTCAGAAGCAAGAGAGGTTGGCGTGAGATAAAGTGTTCTTAAATTCTCCAGCATTACTTTTTCCTCCTCTTCCAAAACTTCATCTTCTTTCATCTCCCATCTGAAATTGAGGGGGGAAAAAAATCAACAATCTCTTGTATTTTTAAACTTAACATATTAGTATATTAGCTGTACATACTAGGAAGTTATTAAATGTTTTTGTGTATTTGGCAGAAACAATTTGTTATGGTTACCTACTTGTTGTTTCCCCACACTTTTTTTTTGCACACTCAGTATATCTGACACTTTATTGATATTTACAGGATACAGGATTAAAAGCACCAAGTAATGCCCAGACAACCCCATTTCATCCAAGAGCATCTTAAGGTGTATAATTTAAAAACCTGCGCATAAATCAGGTACGTACGCATCTATGTTATGCACCTCCTTTGTGCTTCTCGCTTGTGCTCATCCTTGCCACCTTCCACCCTTTACTAACTTGTGCAAAGCCAGCTGTACCAGCGGAGCTGCACTGCCCTACTTCAACTTTTCTGGTTTTTTCAGTGGAGGTGCAAAGCTCTGCATGTTTGTTGCTGCACTTTAATAACATTTAACACTGGCATTTCACCCTACATTTATCACCTCCTGAAATAGGAAGGACTGGGAAGACTGAAAATACATTTTTAAAGAAAGTGTGCATGTAATACGTGCCTCCTACTCAAAAGAAGGGCAAGTAGGAGGAGTTGAAGCTGGAAGACATCACGCTCAGCCTTTTGCCCTACATGCTACTTTGGGCCTGCATATATACCCCAAGCTGTTTTCCAGTCCCCACCACCTCCCATTGAGATTGGGAAAACAGTGCAAGAGAAAAATAGTGAACAAAAACAAAGAAAGAAAAAAGGCCTAAATCCTGTTGCTTGCCATAGGAAATTGCACTAGTGGTAGGCCTATTGAATCAATGGGAATTCACTCCTCCTCCTTGAGTGCCATTGATTCTAATGGGCCTATTCTAACTATGGCTAAGTTGTAGTTAGAGTTGGCCTATTTCAGTAAATTGAATTTGAGGTATAGACTCACCCAGTTCCCACTGATGCGACGGGCCTACACCAATGCAATTTACTATGATAAGCAACAGGATTTTGGCCTCTGCAGTTTTTCCTCTCAGATTTGCTTCTCCTGAAGCAGTGTATCGCTAACAAAAGTGTGTATCAAAATTTTGTAGGACTGCACTTTTTAGTTTGTTTACTGCCAACCTGCCAATGTACTTAATATCATTTATTCATTCATTTATATTAAATCATGTATGAAGTGCCCATTTTTTCCGGGGTACTGTTTATACATTGAACAGTGCTGCCTGCAGACTGGAAGGCCAGGGGAGTGCCCAGCAAGCAAGCTAGAGAAGAGATATGAGGAAGAGATGAGAAGGCAGCAGAGATTTCATTTTGAAGGCATGATCATTCTCCAGGACTCAGCTCCAATTTAAACACTGAGCCCAGAGGGAAAAAGAGATTTCAGTCACAACAGCTTGCTTTACAGCTGTCATCAGAGAGCGGATTATGTTGAAAATGTGGAAATCTTCTGTAGTTGACTAGGGCCATTTAATGGAGTAGAACCGAGACATCCTGGTTCACAGCTCATACTCCAAATCTGACCTCCTTCACCCATGCATACTCATCTGGAGGCAAGTTCCACTGAATTAAATATGCATGGGATTCAGCTGTTAGGCTAACTGTACAACACTGATTCTGCACTAGTTCAGCATACGATCTCACACTGCCCATGCATATAGTAAGCCTCTTTTTGCCACCCATAAAGGCAGTTAGTTTATTAGTCTATAGTAGCATAGATCAGTATCTTAATTGAAAAAGGAGTACACTATGCTCTCAAGTAAATATTGAAACATTTCTTCTTTTTCAGATCCTCCAATAATTGCCATCCTATCCATCTGTCGTCATTACGTGCTATCATGTTGCTTTCAAATTATGATGATCTATGAATAAGCGATCTTCAAAATGTCCTGTCCTCAACAGTCCTGCTCAGCTCTTCAAACTCAACCCTGTGGCTTTCTTTAGGGAGTTTATCCATATCTTATTTGGTCTTCATTTATATGACATATAATACTACTCAATATAAAACAATCAGTGTTTGTCTATCACTTTTATGATTATTTATGACTTGTCCCTGCAAATACTGTGACCAGAGCATCTAATCGTACTAAAAGAAAGTGTTGTAACATCTGCCACCACCCAGGTGAAATATCCTGGGCGAGATTGTTGGTTTCTGTAAAAAAAAAATTTAAAGGATCAGATTTTCCACCTATCTTAGTATAGGATTTTTTTTTCCTTCAGAAGCATGCAACTATAAACAGTTAAAATTCAAAATTTTGCTGAGCAACACAAACCAGTCACTGAAATATCTTGTTAGTGGATGCTTAAAATGTTCTCGATATGAAAATCTGTTTATTCTCTTTAAGGTAGTCCCCTGAATCCACAAAGAGAGTTCCATATGCAGGAACAGCCTTTCATCTCTATACTGATGGAGTGTATCTTGATGCACACAGCTCTCTGAGCTCTATTAAACTGGCTGGACGTGTCCTTTAATGTCAGTGGGGATGTGAAGCTGCATCCAAGACCAACAATTGGTATGCATGACTAGTTGCCTGAGATTAGATCTGGATTGGGGCCAATGACTTTTCAGCGCCCTTTATTGAATTACAGCTCTTCTGATGGTATTTGTTCCCATGATCAAGTCTGAAATTGTAACTCCCCTCCCCCACAATTAAAACATACATATTACAAAGCCGGTTTTGCCAAGGTATATAAATAAATGAAATACTATGTGCTTATCAAGTGTAACTTGCTTGCTTCTAAGAAATGACTGCATGATGATGTTTGAAGTAATCCCAAAGCACAACAAACAGCAGGAGCCAAGGCAACAAATTTCAGTTACTGTTCCAGAATGGATTAAAAAGCACAGACCATGTCTCTCTCTCTGAACAGAAAAGGAGATTCAACATTTGTAACTCAAGAGATGTCTACAATGGAACACGCTTTTATCAGCATATCCAAAATGCATACCCATTATTTCGGCAGTAGCATCTGGCAAAATTTTTTGATGATAAACCAGTTCAAGTAATATGGATGAGTTAATTTCAAAATCCTGGCTCCATGAGTTGAACAAACAACTTTCAACTTATAATATTTCAAATTAACAACAACAATGTGGCTTTCAGTAAAGCCTTTTAAATCTGTACTTGGCACATACTTTTTTTAGGATTAAATTTAAATTTCCAAAGATTAAATTAAATCAAATCTGCTGTCCAAATTGGTACTAGAGATGCTTGGACCAAATCATGGTTCCATAATTGAATATGCTGTTTATTACTAACTTAGCCATCATGTTATGCAAGCGATATAAACCTGTAACACTATGTTTCTTTTCATAACAGGTGCTATAATTAATTTTGGCACAAGTATTGACACAATTGAGCCAAACATAAGCATTTTCAAGTCCTGTTAATTTTAAAATTAATTTAGGAATGTGTTTAATGTGCTTGATATTAATGTGACTTAAATTAGATGAACTTGTGACAAAGCATATTCTGTGATCTAGAACAGTGGTTCTTAACCTTTGTTACTCGGATGTTTTTGAACTGCAACTCCCAGAAACCCCAGCCAGCACAGTTGGTGGTGAAGGCTTCTGGGAGCTGCAGTCCAAAACTCCTGAGTAACCCAAGGTTAAGAACCAGTGATCTAGAAAAGTGGTTCTTAACCTTGGGTTACTCAGGTGTTTTTGGACTGCAACTCTCAGAAGCCTTCACCACCAGCTGTGCTGGCTGGGGTTTCTGGGAGTTGCAGTTCAAAAACATCTGAGTAACCAATGTTAAGAACCACTGATCTAGAACAAAATGGGGAGGGTTTTCCGCTGACAGAACTAATTATTTCAGTAGAATCAAGACATGGCAATCTCTATCCTTTCTGATTTTGGCACTTTTTAAAGAACGGGCTACCACGTTGGCCAACAATGGCAGGAATAACTCTGTTTTGTATTTGTTTGTTCTAATGTATAACATATTGGTAATTATATAGCACATTGCTAATTAGAGTTAATTGCTCACAAGCAAAAATGCTGGTGAGAATTCAAGTTGCAAAAACAGCTATTTAGTTCATATAACTTATGATTGTTACTGTGTATAAGTTTCAAAACTCAACCATTATACATAGAAGTCTATGAGTGCTGAGAGAGGAACACCTTATGCTACTATTTTTCTTGTTTTTTAAAAAGACTTGTCCATTTTAGTGACTTCCTCTATAAACTGCTTATTTCCTCAAATTTCCTGCCAGTTTTTTCTTTATGTTGTGGTAGTGAACCAGACTTCTGACAACACTGTGTTTGGCATACCTAATGTAGTAATTTTTCTCACACAAAAGATCTAGCCCACATTTTTAGCTGATTTTGCTAGTCTATAATTTACTTTTGCCCAACAAATGGCCAATTTTATTTTATCTACAACAAAAACAAAATAATTTCTTTTTCTTTGGTTGATTTTAGTAGTACTATTACAGTATTATCCAATAGTAGAAATATCATTCAAATTTAAACATATTTCTGAGATAAAGCATTTTGTGTATGGAGGGGGAGGAAAATACACAATGAAATATGCCTCCAAGATAAAAATAACCTGCATAAGAACACAGTTGCAGGAAAGGTAAATTATAAAGCAAGCATTTATCTAATCATTTTAAAGACCATAATTACAGAGGCTGTGCACTGAAAGACTTCAGAACTATTACAATAAAACATTTTAATTAAATATATAGTTAAATAATTTTTCCATAAGCTGTCAACGGAAGTTTCCAGCAAATCTGACAAATGCTTTAAAAATCTGTCAACAACTGCCAAAACTTCCTCCTTATTATTGCTCAGTATCGAAATACTCATTCCATGAGGTACTTCCACTGCATTTTAGAAAGGATTATAAAACCCACACCTTACCTCTGAATATTAGCAATTTACAACTCTATGCCTCTGTGTTCTACTCCCAGGTCTTCCTCTTTACAAGGTGTCACATCTCCCCCTGCCCACTTCAGCAGCACTTCACACCTTTCTGGAGATCCAGTTACCAAATTCATAACACTCCCTCACCCAACAATCCATTTTAGTCATGTTATTTTTATTCTGCAAGGTGAGCAAAATGCATCCTTCTGGTCCACATAACCCTGTTCTCACGACCATTTTTGCAAATACTGCAGAGAGTGTAATAACCAATATATCTATAGCAGCACTCTAGTATTTTGGCTGGACCAGCACTAGGGCAATGTGAAGCTATTGGCTGAGGAATTTCAGAAGGTGTGGTTCCCTAATTTTCCCAAGTTCTGCATCTGTTGTTCTCAATTATTTTGAGTACTTATTTCTAGCTACTATCTAAGTCAGCCCTCCAAATGGAATTAAAATGTAATGCATGCATAGGCATCCATTTTATTTTACAGAACCATTATGGATAGAACCAGAATACAGTGAAGGGAAGAACACTGCATGAATGGGAAGAGTGTAAATGCAACAGATATTCAGTGCACATAATTTAGTTTATGAATCACTGGTTAAAACCTGAGGTCCACACTCCTGAGGCTGGAAGGTTAAAGGAAAGATGACCCAGGAAGTCTAATCAGAAAGAAATTTGAAAGTGCTGTTGGAAAAACAAAGCAGTTCATAGGGAGCTTCCACATTTTAAACCAAGAAGTACTGTATGCTTGAGCATAAATATTACTACAGTAATGACTGATGAGGGGGAAGTGGACTGCTGACTAGTTCATTTGCCCTGGTTTCCAATTCATTCCAGGCATGATTCAAAGTACTCAATCCAACCTACAAAGCCTTGAAAAGGGTCCAAGCCATATCTGACCATAGCTTAAATTTCCAGAATCCCAAGAAAACATGGTCAACAGCCAAGCTGGCTGAGGAATTCTGGGATTTGTAGTCCAAAAGAAAGAAAGAAAGAAAAAACAAAGCCACACCCAACAACCCATCTCTGTTGTGGCTTGTTAACAACCTTGACCTGTCACTGTGTTCAACAGTGGAAGCCCTCCTTTGCACACGGATTTATTTCAAAAGCACCCTCTATCAAGAATCCCTTCTTGAAGATGTTTGCTTGGTTTCCTCTTTCACACATCTAGTTTGCCAGTAAGTCCTACAAATCCAGACTCAAGAGTCACTGTGTAAATCATGATACAGTGCTGGGCCAACAAATTCAGTCAGGTATACTGGATAACCTTAGGCCAGCTGCCCTTTCTGAGCTTGACCTGTCATCTCACAGGATTGTTGTGAAGATAAAGGTGGGAGGAGAAAGTCGTCTATGACACCCTAAACTCACTGGTGGAAAGATAAGGCATCCGTATAAGTAAAACATGAATAACAATAAAGTTAAGATTCTCTCTGCTTTCAGGCTGAATTGTATTTTCCTGCTTTGTTTTCTTTGCATGCAGTTTCTTTCCGTAAGGCAATCAGCTTTTTCTACATTTTATGTGTTTTGTGAACTTTATTTTGTAAATTGTTTTAATTTTGTTTAGAAAGAAGGTATCAATTTCTAAACAAGTAAATATAAACACAGAGAGAGTATCTGTAGACAGTAGCCTCTATTTGTCACATATGGCTGGATGTATAGAAGAGACACCCATCTGCATAAACAAAAAAAGGTATTCGGATAGGAGAAACCACATCTTATTGGTGGAGTAGACACTCCCTTGTGGAAGGTGTCAGGATTAATTCCTTGCATTTCTAGTTAAGAAAATGAGGTTGCAGGTGGTAGGAAAGACCTTTGTCTGTGGTCCTGAAGAGCTGCTGCCTGTCAGATTGGCAAATGTTGGCCTAGCTGGACAAGCAGTCCATCTTGGCAAAAGGCCATTTTCTCGGTTGTCTATATTTAATTTTCAATGCTTATTTTTGAGCTCTATCAATCAGTCTGCAGATTGCAAGGGTACATGTCCAAAGTGGATACACATCCAAAGTGGGTACACAAGTCACATATATTTTTCTTTATTTGTTCATATTTGTTCAAGTACAGAATGCCAAACTTAAGCCTCAAAATAGTGAGGCAAAATAACTTGAAATAAACAATATGTTAGCTGCAGTTTTACTGATCAACACTTGTAATAGACTTCATGAATTTTTCTGCACACAGAAATAGCTAGACCTTCTTGAACCCTCTTTGTGATTAATTAGAAAGCCTGTCTTACATATTTTTCTCTCAGGTGTACTAACCTTGTAAGACCTTATCTTTAAGAACTGATAAATAAATGCTTGGTTAAGCACAAACAATGTGATAGGCAGTAAAAAAGAGAATGATGATCTTGGCTTTTATGCAAAGTATCTGTGCTGCCATTTTACCTCAGAGGACCAAACAAAGCAAAAAATAAAATAATTTATTGAAATGCTAAATATAGGAAATTTATTTTTAATTCACAAAAGCTAAAACATCTAAGAAAAACAGAAGTAATGGAACAGCAATTAAGTCACAGTATATTTTAGTACAGGTACTTGCCTAGACTGCTTCTCTTCAAATTAAAACAAAACAAAACAAAAACGATAAAGATACTCAAACCAGCTTTGTAATTTTTGAGGGGTGAGTCCCTCTTAAAAGACAGGTATTTTGCAAGCTATAGTGTTTCCAGTGTTCCCACAATATTATAATAATTTGCAATAACTTGCCACGAATGGTTATATACTGTTAGCAGAAAGGTGGGGGCAGGGAGAAGTGCTACAACATAGACAAGGACTGAGAAGCAGGGTAGCCAAAGAGAGTAAGACAATGTCAGCAATAACAAGAGACACAGTGGCTGAAATCCAAAAGTAAAAACCAGCTAGAACCCATTGAATCAGTGGGGATTTGGTGAGTCAGCTCCTCTGTAAGTTCCATTGATTCAATGGACCTACTCCTGTTGAAGCTTACTACTGGATTTTAGCTAGTAATTGACTGCCTTGCAGTGAGTTATGAACAAATCTAGGTGTAGGGGCCAGAGACCTAAGGCAGCATAAGTCTTTCAGAAGCTCACAGGTTCCTGGATCATTCAGGTTTGTATAAAAAAAGGTTTCTAGATGCTACTTCCCTCATCCTTGCATTTACTCAGACCACTTTTACATTGTGTCCTATTTTTTTAAAGACCAGTAGCTCAGACACAAGAAGGAGGCCTTTTCTTCTTGCTGAAGAGTCCTCTTCAAGGGTAGGGGCTTAAAGTCTATTTTAAACTCTCAGGCAA